AAAGATTTGCTGTTCGACCAGTTATCCCTGATTATCAGTAACTAGTATCGATCGTGTTTGAACTCTTCAGACTGTTCAGGGACCTCACTGAAGGTTACCGGGGTGTGGGTTTTACCGGGGTTCGTAAGTATCGGAGTTAACGGGTGGATTTTTACCGGGGTTACTCCGGTTGATTAGTACCGGGGTTGGTTTGTTTCAAAGTAGGGAGGTTAAAGACCTCACCAGACTGTCTGGGTTAAGAGAAGCCGGGAGTAAAGGTAACATGGACGTTGGATACCCGATTTTGACGATTTGACATGTGCAGGGCGGTGAGGGTCCAGTAATAGGTGACGTAGGAACTTACAGTTACAGATGGGATGGGGAGGCTAAAAGGGGGATCTAAAGTTGGAGCACCCAGGGGGAGAAATTGTGTAACAAAGAGGGAAGTGGGGGGTTTTTAGGTTTAGATTTGTCATTCATCCCATGTGGATGGAAGGTTTGCAATCTGATAACCCAATGGAGTTAAATGGAGGGCCTATTGGCTATGGAAGTGAGAGGCGACTGGTGTGTCTCTCTTAGGAGAGACAGGTTCACTTCTTTAGCATTAGCTTTGGCAGACATGGTTGGTGGAAAAGTAGACTTTGTTTTTTAGCCAATGGATTTTCGTCCACCACGGTGGTTATAAATTCTGAGTTTTTAAAGGGGATCACGACTGCCCGCGGTGGTCACGAAATTAGCCATAACTGGGTCGTTGGCGGAGGTAAAATATAATATAAGAGATAAAGATTAACTGTGCGACCAGTTATCCCTGATTATCAGTGACTAGTTTCGTTCGTGTTTTAACTGTTCAGACAGATTAGACTCACTGGTTGGTAGATGACAAGTTAACGTTCGCTTCCAGCGGATGCTGATATCGCAAACTAGGTAGTTGTTGGTTGTCGTAGTAGTTGGTAGTTGAATTGGTTCAAATTGGATGATTCTGTGTTGTTGGTTTGGATGTTGATTCTTCGTTAGATCTGGTCGGGTCGAATGACATGGCGGTGAGACTCGGCCCTGGATGGTGTGGCGTGAGTTACTCGATCTCCTTCATTCTTCCAAATTCGTACTGATCATGGTATTTCTTGTTGATAGTAGTCGTTTAGTTTACTTTGGCTAGATTATCTAATAACTGTTGTAAGTATCTTTTTTTACATTTTTTCGTCACCTTAGACGCTTTACCGGATCACTTTAGATGCTCCTTCAGACTGATTAGACTCACCTTGCGGGATTCCATTTATACTGTTCAGGGACCCCGGTGGAAGGTCACGGGGGTGTGGGTTTTACCGGGGTTGCCGGGGTCCGTAAGTAGGTATCGGGGTTGGTTTGTTCCAAGGTAGGGAGATTTAAGACTTCACCAGACTTCACTAAGAGAAACTGGGAAAATAAGAGTAAAGGTAACTTGGACGGTGGATACCCGATTTTGACGTAAAGGTGTACTGACATGTGCAGGGCTGTGAGGGTATCGTCCAGCACTGAACAGTTAAAGAAGATGTAGGAGCTTAAACCTTTAGGAAGTGTGACGGTGGGAGGCTAAAAGGGGGAATCTAAAGTTGGAGCACCCAGGGGGAGACCGGGTGAAGTGTTTACAAGGTGGGTACAATTAAAACTATATTTGTTGTGTTGTATTCATTGAAGGGATTATGATTTTCAAGTGCTGGTGATTGCTTGCTTCCTCAAAGAGGGGCTGGTAATCTGCATTTCTGTAATTTAAAGTCCAAGACACATGTAGGATCGGAAAAATATTGCTAATTAAGCTGAAGATAATGACAAAATTTTCAGAGAATTTTTCACACAATATCAATACATTTGGTTAAAATAATCTTGATTTTGGTCGGAAAAGTACCTTCCAATCATCCAAATTTGTTAATCAATGTTGAAGTAACATCAGTAATTATCCCCTAAATGGATGGATGCCATTTACTTTGATTCCATTTCCCTATTATGTGGCTCTACATTTACTGAATGTTGCTTAGTGTGTGTAGTGTATATGGGAAATAATACTGTGAAAAGCTGTGGAACATGTTGGGGTGTCTTCCCACTTTGCCTCGATTCCCATGTTCCTTTTAGCCCATTTCCCCAGATATATACTTCCAAATCCTCTACCGGGCATTACAGGTTAGCCATTACATGTCATTCAATGTCTGTCAAATGCGAAATTTAATGACAACTTTAAGTCAAAGTCTGAAGCTATGAAAAAAATCGTATGTTAACCTTTAATATAAATTTCTTCCCTTTCCCTTCTTTCAAACTTCAAACATTTTGACATATTATTGCCCTGTGTGAAAACAAATTTTTATATTGATCAAGCTTTATTAAGATATCAGGGAAATTTGAAATAGATATTCCAATTAACATGATAAGTAACATTCGATTTATTGAATAAAGAAAAAAGACTCTAGTGTCATCGCTTTCGTTTCCATCATGCACTAGGCAAACGTGATTCCCACACGACTAAGTAGATAGCTACTGTCACATTTGGCAATCTCAATATTCTACATTATCTTGTTGGCTCAATTTGTGATTGCCTAGCAAGACACGCCCACTTTCCTGATACATTTTCAGTATAACAAGGGCGTTCACCAATGTATCAAAAATCTAACTTGTGCAAGATATTGCTGATTTAATCAAACACACAAAATTTAATAACATTCTGACATAAACTGTCTCCTCTATCGCGTTTACAAGCCAACAACTTTCGATGCGTTTTTACTAAGTCAAAGCAAGTCTCTATTGTGTTCACAAACAAATTTTGAACTATAAATCACCACCGTAACCAGTTTGTTTCTTTGTAGAAGTTATTGGAGGCAACGGTGGCAAAATGCCTTGATTTTCTCTGGAAAAAATGGATAACAGACATACAAAAAAAAACACACTTGGTTGACCTACTTGGAAATTAGTTTAAAGAAAAAGAGCAGATAGCTCTCAGTAATAATAATGAAAACTATGCCATAAAGAAGTCTTTAATATTGACACAAGTATATTAATATGCATCAAAGAAAATCACCTCTACCTGTTAGAAGAGGAGATCATTTCAGATTTGTAATCTCTGGGACTTTTACCTTTACAACAAGTGCTTGCCTAGCAAGATAAATTTTCAGGGTGGTTGTCAATCGGTGTCAAATGATATAAAACATCTAACTTGTCCACGATATGTTTTCAACGAACACACAAAATTTCATAAAATTCTCTATAGTGTTCACAACCACCATTTAGATAATTTAAGTGTATCATTAAAATCAGATAAAAAATTTTGAAGCATATTTCGAATTTCAAGGGCAATAACTCAAAAAACCTTTATCGAAAAAATCATCAAATTTGAACTCAACTAGGATCTTATCCATATAAATGATCAAATTTAATTAAAATCAGATGAAAAGTGTAGTCTCTATAGTGCTCCCTAACAAATTGTGATGCGTTTTTACTAAATCAACGGCAATAACTCAAAAACAGTTCATCAAAATATCGTCATATTCAAATTTGACTAAGACCTCATCAATATAAATGCTCACACCAAATATCTATTAAAAACCGTAGTCTCTATTGTGTTCAAACCAATTGTGGACAGACAGGGGCGATGACAATATACAACCACATTATAAGAAATATTCATTATTGATAATCAGGCTCATCTTGAGCTTTCACAATTCCACTTTCCTTTTGGGACAAGGGTCATTTATATAAATGTAGCAATTTAAGCTCAGCACTCTCCTGAAGATCAGAGACAACTACAGATTTCATATTTGCTTACATTACGTACATAAATTAATAAAATGAACAGAACTTACTTTTTCTCATACAATTTAGTCTGTACAGCACCATAATGTCTTTGTTCTTGTGTTGAATTAGATATAAAGAAAATTCCAGAAAGTAATGTTCCAAACAATAACCTAAAATTTACACAGTTATATTCAATTTCATAGATTTAAGATATTGTTGCAAAATCTAAAAGAGGTTAATACAAAAAAGGAAACCTAATGATCCTGGAAACTGGCATTTACTCTGAAATTCTCATTGCAAGTGACTAGGTGATTGCTTTCATGATTTCTTAATTTTCTGGTATATATCTTGAGAGATAACAATATTCAATCGTCAGTAAGAAGTCGGTATTAAATTTTATCATACTTATGGATGGATTGACATTGACTTTATGTCAAGACAGTATAATTTATTTTGCTTTAAATTGCAACTTACCCTACTGGTCCAGAAATTAAAGCCCCAGCGAAAACTCCTTTTGGACCCATTTTCAAACGAAAAAAACCACCTGTTATTGCTACAAATGTAAATGTATGTTGATTATACAACAAATACAATCAAAATCACCTTCGGCATAACAACAAAGGAAGAAGCTAGAAGATATTTTTTGAAGAAGCATATCTATGATCTCGGCGAGATCTATCCAATGGTATATTAACGTTTATTGTATGGTGTTTACTTCCGATTTTATCTCCATTTGAAATTTTATCTATTATTATTATTATGTTACTGTTACGATAGTTTGCGGAACAGTTTCAGGCGTAAAATCAAAACTGTTACGCACTGCTTCAAAACCACGCGAAGCCTGTGAATCTATTTTTTTATTCGAATTCTGGCCAGAGTGCCCAGCCAAAACTATACATGCCACATATAAGTATAATGTGTACATTACCTTATGCCATTTTACAATTTACCGGTTTACCAAAAAATTTGTTTTACCAAATTGACCATCCAGTGTATGTACACTATACCCGT